GTGTCATTGTTTCTCTGTGTCATGGTTGTTCTCAATTGAGCGGCGGCGACCGGCCTGAGGACCGGCGTGCAACAGCGCTTGCTGACACTTGGCTCCCCCTGTGCCAGGGGCGCTCCTTCCGGGCACCTACGAGGCAGGGAGCGAGCCAGCCAGAAGACCGGTGCTCCCCGCCCGTGGCTCCCCGTGCGCTGGAGGCCCTCCTTCCAGGCGCCTTTCTTCTTCTTGATCCTCAACTCTTTTGCCAACTACCTGCTGGGCAGACTCATCCCACAAACCCCAGTCAACAAGACACCAGTTTCTTTAGCTACAAGGAACTGGGCTGAAAAATGTATTAAAAGGAATAAATGTCTCAGCATGTCACTCACACTCTTTGCAGGAAGGGCCTCATTAGCCCAGGAAAATGTCTCACAAAAAAGAATCCTTGACTTCCAATCCTTTCCACTTGCAAGTTGCCCTCAGACCAGTCAGAGTAATGTAAGTCCCCAGATTTGCTAGTTTCCCCCTTCTCTCTAGCCTCACCTAAGTCACTGACACTAAGCTGGTAACACGGACCTTGGCTTATTGAGCAGAAGACAGGAAGTGCTCCTCTCTGTTTCACACAGGAAGTGTTTTCTTGGCAAACATGGTCCCACAGTGGCGGTTCAGAGGGCAGTTTCTTTGGCATGTTTTCCATATTCTTCCCTTCAGCCACTGAATCCTGGCTGGAGCACTTCTGGAGAGCTCAAGGTGAGAAGGCTGTCCAGCCGTGGGTACGCTCTTGCTGCCCCTCTATTCTGTCCACCAAAAGTTCAGTGTCTTTTCTCAGGACCTTGCTGGAGCTATCCCCAAGGGGACTCTCCTTGCCATTATGTGGACCACACTCTCCTACCTGGGCATCTCTGTGATGGGAAGGTCATCTCCTGCTGCCTTCTGTGCAGAATGACCTGGGGACCTGACTTATGCTCCCCAAAAGACAGGGTATAGATGGTAAAATCAGCAAGAAGCATTCATCAGCCATATTAAAAGTAGTGTACAGATTCCAGATCCCCTGAAGAGTAAAGAACTCTATTTGTCAGTTCCTGAGAACCAAAATTGTACATGCTATTTCCTACTTCCTGTTCAATCTGAAATTTTGGTTCTCTGTAGTCAAAAGGCTTTTGAAAATCTGGTGGCTTTCTATCAGTTCCAACAGCCACCATGAAAGGGGGATCAGAAATCTACCTACCTTTCTTAATATTCCTCCTGCTTCAGGCTATATCTTGGAGCAAAACCTGCAGGTGAACTGAAAGAAGGTATGCAGAACAGGGTGGCAAGTGAGGCAGTTGTCCCAGAGAGGCACCTGGTAATGATTCCTCATCCTGTCTCTGCCTATTCCTTCTTCCTAACCACATAGAGTGGCACATGCATCTTCATGAAGTACTATGGCAATATTCCTGGGGTGCCGCCCTCAGTCATGTGAGTCTCAGAAAATTTCAAAGTACAAGGGCATCGATTTCAGGGATAGAGATGTTTCCATGAGGAGGTGAGCTAAAGAACAGACTCCGTTCCTCATAATGCCTTACCTACCAGCAGCCTACCTTGATCCTTAGCCTGTTCTGGGGCCCTTTAGATGACATGTCTGGAGATGCTGTCCAAGGACCTGACATCCCCCATTGCCTTAATTTGAGGAAATCGACAGGATGTCCTTACCCTACATTGCCAGTCAGAGTCATAGAAGAGCCTGATTCAGGAAGAGGACTCTACAGTTTAGGGCTCAAGGAATTTTGATTTTAGTTTCCTTTCTTTTCTTTCCTTCTTCCCTTTTTTGTGGTGCTGGGGCAAGAACCCAAAGCCTCACATGTGTCAGGTTAACTAACTGCCTTACCACTGACCTACATCTTAGCATGACTTTAGTTTCTGGGCTCCACAAACTTGGAGGTCATCCTTAAGAATTCTCAGGCAAGAGCTTCCAAGAAAAGAACTCCCCTACTAAGCAATGTGAACTGGAGCTACAGGGGTGAAGAAGGTCCTTCTTCAAAGATCCATTCCAACTCATAATATTAATAAATCAGTATCCAAGGATGTAAAGTAATATAGCTGCTGCCCAATGATAAAATTAACTTGTTTCTTCCACTGTCCCCTGGACAGGGCTGCTGCTGGCAAGAGGGGTGTGAGTTTGTGCTCCTCCCTTCCTCCATTGCCCTGGATGGCTCAGCTGGTGAGTCTTGAGTTTGGCTCCTCCCTTCATCCATCAACCCAGGACAGCACAGCTGGTGAGAGGAATGACAGCAGTGCCACTATAAGGTGTCATAACTATCACATAGTTCAGTATCAAAGGAATGGGCCCTAAGTCAAATAGATAACAACTCCTCAGTTTCAATATATTGACAAGGTAGATCCTCAATTGTCTTTATGTCTATCTAGGGATAGAGATAAACACCAAGAACCACATCTACAAGCTATCAGGAGGAACAGACACCTCCTAGGAAAGCCTTGACACCACTGTTAAGGCTATTTAACATAAGAAATCTACAAGTCATCAACACAGAAAACAAAATAAAATAGAAAGTGACAAGATGAAGCAGCAAAGTTCAATCCCAAATGCTCAGTCCACCCAGGACAAGTCCAAACCACAAAGAGAGAGAGTAAATCAGAAGCCAACAAATGGAAATCTCTGAAATGATAGCAGTAGAAGTGAAGAAACAAATGTTAGAAGCCATAGAAAAAATAATCTCTATGGTGGAAAATGAAATGACTATCAAGAGATATTAAAGTAGACACAGACAAAGAAATAGAGGAGCTCAGGAAAATGATGGAAACCATGAATGCCAAACATAAACAAGAAATGGAATCAGTGAAACAGATCCAAACAGAAATGCAGGAGATTAGAAACTCCACTGAAAGTACACACAGCAGAGTGAATGATGGCAAGGATAGAATATCAGATTTAGAAGACAGGAACAGGACTAGAAACCAAGAAAAGAAAGATATCTTAAAAATCACAAGAGACCACGAACAGTCAATCCAACAGCTACAGAATGAAGCAAAGAAGAACAACATAAGATTGATTGGAATGAGTGAAAAGCTGGAGACAGCACAAAAGCCATTAAAAACCTTTTCACAAAAATAATGGTAGAAAATTTCCCAAACATGAATAAAGGTTTTGACATACAAATAAATGAAGCACATAGAACTCCAAATAGCCATAACCAAAATAAATCTACAACAAGTCATATAACATTGAAGATTCCATAAATTAAGTACATGAACAAAATATTAAAAGTAGCTAGAAAAGAAACCTATCACCTATAAAGGAAAGCCCATCAGAATCACAGCAGACTTCTCAATACAAACCCTGAAATCAAGGAAAGCTTGGAGTGAGATATTTCAAGCCCTAAAGGAAAACAATCTTCAACCAAGATTGATGTATCCCACCAAACTATCTTTCAAAATTGATGGAGAAATAAGATATTTCCATGACAAAGAACAACTGAAGAAATTTATGACCACTAAACCAGCTCTACAGAATGCTCTCAAGAACGTATTAGAAAGAGATAATGGGGCTGGGGATATAGCTCAGTGGCACAAGTGCCTACCTGGCAAGCACAAGGTCTTGAGTTCAATTCCTGGTACCAAAAAGAAAGAGACAGAGATAATAAAGACCACAAACACACTAACACCAATAGAAAAGAAGCCACCAGGCAGGGCAAGCAATTAAGTAGAGGAGAAAGACAAACAACAAGAAAACAACATGAAAAAGAAAAATCAATATATATCAGTTATAACTATCAACATAAGTGGTTTCAACTCACCAACCAAAAGAAACAGACTTGCAGAATGGATCAAGAAGCAAGATCCAACAATATGTTGCATTCAAGAAACACATTTAACCC